ACTGGATCAGAGCTCCACTGCTTTTGAACAAATTCTAAACAATTTTTTGATAAAAAATTTGGTTTTTATAGAAGCAAAACTCATTGTTCATCAAATGTAGCTATACAACAGCACGTGGGAGTGATTGAAAATGAAGACATAGGTCACAATCTAAAGAAACAGAAAATACAACGTAAGATGCGATCATGCAGTAATAACCTCGGTGAAAAACCTATCAGGGACATTTTTAATCTTTCTGACTAAAACCGATGAAATTTAAGTACAAAATTTGAATTTAAACAATTAAAACTTGTTCTAACTCAATTATAAACAAAAAGATTGATCCAAATAATTTTTTGTGTTCATAGACTTAGGATAATTCAGAATTCTTCTTGGTTTCAACTAAACACCAAAACTCTTTTCCATTTGGTTTGAAGCAATTAATGGTCAAGTTTATAGCAGTGGAAGGGAATTGTTTGAGGCAGGTTAAAATCCCTTTTCAAGTTGGAATATTAGGTTTTTTGTGACCAAGAAACAAAAGGAGTATTGAGGTTAGTCCCATAATTTAGAAAGTCTTCTCAGGGTTTTCTCATAAAATAAGAAAAATAAAAATAAATTTTGGAGAGGCTCAAAGATAAGGATGAGATATCCTCCCCACTTATCTAGATCTATGACATAAAGGTACAATGATCACATTATTTAATGAGAAATTTGAAAGGAAAATATATATGGCTAGGTCCAACAACCAAAAGGCTTTATAAAAGGAGGAGATGGGGAGTGGTCCAAATTATTTAGGGTATTTAAAACTATGTAAGGACTTGGAGACATCACCATGGGACCATATCTAATTTATTGTTCTGAACTGAATTAGTGACTATATTGTGGATATACTAAGTAGGGGCCATCTTTCAATTTTGGCCCTTGATTAGATATTTTATTGTCATTTATACTAATGCTATAACGAGTGTTCGATTGGACAAACGGGCCGCATAATTCAGCCATGGGCTGGGTCTACGTAATTGGGAACCAGCTCGACTCAGGCAGATATCAGCCAGGCCAAGAAAGTGTTAAAAAACTTGTAAAAAAATTCCAAAAAGAAAACAAGAAGGAAATATGTGTAAGATTAAACAAAATACATTTGAATGAAATTAAAAAGGAGTAAAAAAATATAGATTTTAAAAAATCACTTTGTGACTAACAGGTATTTGTGAAATAATCTACAAAAAGATGGAAAAATGTAAAGATACGTATTCATGGCCAAAATACTTTCCAATCTTTGCCAGAATGATAAAACACATAAAAGAGCATCAGATTTCTTACTCTCTTTTTTACAATTTTTTATAATTTTTCTGAAATCTTTTTTAGATTCACGAATTAGACACCCAACTCGGGGATACTGAAGTCCACCTCGGGCGAGTTCGAGCAGACTCGTCCGATCAGTCCAACACTGGATATAACAAATCTGATATATGGCTCTCATCTAAGTCTTAAACCATGGCACCATGGATGAATTAACATTCTCTAAGATCCTCGTGGGCGATACTTGATTATAAATTGTTTCATTGAAAAGAAACAATGGAGTTGTTCAGTTTCAACGATGCAACTTGGACTTGTGGTGCCTTTGAATTTACTTTGGTTGGTGGTTTCATATTTGGGGGGTGCTCCAGCATCAATGAAGGGTAACAAGCAAGCCCCATAAATAGCAAAGGCTGAATGTATCTCTTTGATTGAAGTAATGGTGTATCTGACAACATATAGAAACACAACTTTATTAGATATAGTTTCATCATTTAAGGAATTTGGTGAATGAGAAAGGGATTTGATACTTTGATACCAACCACCGTGATTTTATTAGATGGCCTAACACCCGGTCTAATGAATGACAAATGAAATCTAGCCACACACACACAAAAAAAAAAAAGGAAAGAAAAGAAAAGAAAAAGAAAGAAGAAGAAGAATAAAAAAACGTAGAGATAGGAATAAAAATGAAATCTAGCCACATAAAATAAAAATAAAATAAATTTTAAAAAAGAAAAAAAAAAAAAAAAAAGGAAAGAAGAAAAGACTAAAACGTGAAGGCATTATTGACCTTATAAGAACTCTGTAAGGCATGAGACTCAATAAAACCAAGATGCTCCCTTTTGTAAATTAAAAAGTCAACAATCTCCTTTGAACATATAGAAGTCTTTGTGACATTATAAATAAGGCCGTTATGACTAGGTCTAAGTGGGATCTAAATGAGGTCATTTTATAAAGGAAAAAGTTTATATAAGGGTGAGGCCCTAAAGAGTTAAATTAAGGTGCATCTCAAAAATTCACTAAAAAAGTTGTTTTAACGTCCAAAAATCTTCAAATTGATCATCTTGACCTCAAGACGCATTAGACATGAGAAAATTTGGATTTCAAGTCTTGAAAATAGTGCATCTTGTAATGCATTTGCGTTCAAAGATCTGTTCAATCTACACTTTTTTTTCGAAGTTTAAAATTATAATTAGAAATAAAAATAAACTTTCAAGCCATCAGAAAGATTTTCAGTATTGAAACAACAACTTTCAATACTATTTGAAGGCGCGTCATACTTTGATTGTTTAGGGCCTCAGCCTTATACAAACCACAACCTTTTATGAACTTGTAATTGGAAATTTATTGAAGTACATCTAATTTTTCAACTGTTTAATATCATACTCATTTACAATTATTCCAACTCATGATTATGTGCATTTTGATGGGTTTTCAAAATAAATTAAAAGACATGGATAAATTGGAGATGGTTCATTTCTTTGCTACATTTTGATAAATTTCTGATGAGGATGGTCATTTTGATACGGGCAAAGTCAGGATTCTGCTGCCTGTTCTATTGAAATCTGATTGATTCAAATGTTAAACATTCATAAACCAGAAATTTATCAAAATATACCAAAGGGATGAGCCATTTACTGTTTGCCAATATCTTTTGATTAATTTCAAAAAGCCCATTTCCTTAACTAATTTAGCTTCAAATCTTTCCAAGAAATTGTGACCATTAAATTTCAGAAAATGTTTCGGAATCCCTTTTTGTCATATATCCATCTATCCCCAAATTGAGATGATGAATTGAAGTTATAGCATAAAAATAACCATAACCATTTTGGGGGAGTTTTTGAGTCTATAGTATAGTGCGGGGGTTGATGCTTTATGTGAGCTTTTTCCTGTCGGGAACGCATGAGAACAAAGTTTAGATGAACAAATCTTCACCTACTTGTGCCAAACTTGTGCCATGTCCATTTACAAGGTAGTTATAATTAATCTTGACCCCTGGATATAAAATTAAGTGGCTGCATTTATTGCATTGATCAAGTTCAAAGTTTTAAATTTTTTTTTTGAATTTTGTGGCAACATCCAAGTTATCGGATTTCACATCTAATGGTTATGAACAATTGTGATTTCTTTGTACCAAAGATAGATTGACTCATTATATACGTTCTCTTGTTTTTAAAAAGCATTAGGCATCACGCTTGTGGAAAAATTCGTCCAAATTGGGATGCAAAAATAATAAAAAAGAGAGAGAAGGGTGTCACAAGTTGTGTGTGGCAGCGCCATTACTCGAGCCAGAAGATTATATGCTCCCTCAGGAGCATATCTTATGTTTAGTCCCTTGAATAAAACACTATCCCGGATAATGCTTAGAACCCCAGATGTTGGAGTCTTAACCTCCTCAAGCAGGTCATCAATCTAAAAAAAATTCATATCTTCTCGAAGATAACATGTTTTGATTGAATAAAGGCTGTTCGATTTTTAGACACTTAGATCTAAATGTTTAGAAACTCAAAATCTTTGGCTCTTTTTTTTTTTTGAAGTTTTTTTAAAATTTTCATCGGATGATTCTAAAGTAAACCCCGAAATTAAGAAAATATTTCGGAGTCAATCCTTTGTCCTAGGAGCAAACGTACAGTAAGCTCTTACATGAATATTCTACACTCGATCTTGCTTAATGCTTATACAGCGGCAAAATGTTGATAGATAGTATAAGTAGCCATGGTGGAGCAAAATCACTTGGTCAAAATAACCAAGATGCGGTATGTCATCCATGTTTTCACTCTTTTGGTGTGGTGTGATCCCTAGGAGACCACGGATACCAACTTTTCTTTCATACAATTAAGGTGTACTTTATAAGGGTTTTACACTGCAAGCCAGGCATCCAGTGCTTGTTAACCTCAACGCATTGTGTGAGCAAGTAAAGATTGTTTAGTTGAAGCATGCTAGTATACAAGAGAAAAATGTAGGCATTCCGGTTATTTTGACTACCAACTTGAATAATAGAGCATTAGAATAAAAAGATAAAGAGTATAAATATCCAAGATATAAAAAGATAACGGAAAAAGTTTATATAAGGGGGATGCCCTAAACAATCAAATTAAGGGGCATCTCAAAATTTTACTAGAAGAGGTTATTTCGATGTTGAAAATCCCTTAATTCGACCATCTCAACCTCAAGATGTATGGACTTGATAAAAACGTAGATTTCAAATATTGGAAATAGTGCATCTTGTAGACCAACAATTTTCAAAATTTTCAAGTGTTTATAGATTTGCTAGATTTATGCTGTTTTTTAATCGGTAAATTTTATAAGTAGAGACGAAAATAAATTTCATGCCATCACAAAAATTTCTGATTCTCCTCGAAGTGCACCTTACTTTGATAAGTTAGGGCCTCAGCCTTATACAAACCACCCCAAAAGACAAGAGTCCAATCATGGAAACTTTGATAAGTTAGGGCCTCAGCCTTATACAAACCACCCCAAAAGATAAAGAGTCCAATCATGGAAACTTTGATCAGTTAGGGCCTCAGCCTTATACAAACCACCCCCAAAGATAAGAGTCCAATCGTCGAAACTTTGATCAGTTAGGGCCTCAGCCTCATACAAACCACCCCAAAAGATAAAGAGTCCAATCATGAATTATAGAACATGCATATACATTTACACCCATTTACATCTCTCTCTTGTGTGTGCCACTTAGACAGGCAAGCTGGAAGTAGCATGTTTTACATGAGTTTTGATGATTTTAAACCCACGACTTTGACTTGCATGTCACGGTGAAAGAATTGCTCCTTAGAAAGGGCCCTCACATTCTTAAGATAAATGGCTAAAGGTACGGCCCCTTCTTGAAATCCCCTGTCGAAGTCATAGAGAAGATCCTCAATGGCAGAATCAGCAGCTCGATGCTCCAAAAGGCACTTGGAGACCCCATCCACCACCGCAAATCCATAATCAAAATCATCTCCACCCACCAACTCATCCATCTTCTCACTATGCTCCATCACCCACTTCTCCAATTCTTGAACCTCACTCAACACTTTGCTCAACCTCTCCTCTAACCCATTCCTCTCTTCCTCAAGCCCTTTCAAGCCTTTCTCAAGCTCGAACTTCCTCTCCCTAAGCACCTCCTGTCGAGCCATTAGCCCATCTATCTCGGATTCTAAGTGCCTTCCTAACTCCTTAGTGTCATGGTGAAGTGCAATTGATAGCCTATCTATGGCTTCTTGCTCAGAGGCCAAGGTTCCCTTGAGACTCAAACAAGGCCTCTGTAACTGGGTCAAGCCAGCATCGATTGGAGGATCGATGTTGAGCACGTGCCTAAGGTTGCGTACGAGCTCGAGGAGATTAGAGCTTGGATAGGCCCAATTGAGCAAGTAATATGTCGACACGAAGCCCGAGGGGTCGACAAGGGGGTGATGGGACCTTATGATAACGCCAGGGTCCAAGGAGAGATAAACAAGAGGAGAGAAGAGTGGGTAGGTCTCTAAGATCCATATGGTTATGGAGAAGGAGAGATTTCTCAAGGATGAGGTTATGGGGAGGGTTCCCTTTGCATTTAGGAGGAAGGAGGTGTGGCCATCATCATGGGTGAATTGTTCAGTGTCGGGACTGAAGGTGGGGAAGTTTTGGAAAAGAGAGATGAGGTGGTCTCTTATCACAAATTTGAGGTTGGGGTACTGGTAGTTGAGAGAAAGAGGTCCATTAATTGAGAGGAGTGCTGTCTCTACAAATTTAGCTTTGGAACGAGAAGGAGCCATTCTCTTTTGAGGAGCCCTCTATGTGAATTGAGCTTTTGAAGGAGCCACAGGATTCATTCTCATCAACTGAATTCAGACTTAAAAGGGACAAGCCTCAATTCACGACAAAAGATTTCCATTGACCTTCTAGGAAGCCCACATCATCACCATCATCCTTAGGCCATTGTCACTAAGATATTCAATTGAGTATAGATTGGTCCAGTGATAAAGAAAAACGGAGTAATTAATGAAAACAAAGGAAATAAAATGGTTAGGAATCCATTGATTAATTTTTCCTTGTTTTATTTTTTCCTAAATAATGGCTATGAGGCATATGCTTTTGACTGCTTCATGCCACAGATGGTTATCTAATATATCAAATCTATCCCTTTTGCTTTCTTGCAAGACATGGCATCTTTAGTATTTTATACGGAGTCAACTTGTAGGTCTCCCCTAGAAATTATATAATCTCAGGAAACCATGCTTCCTAAGGCTACTTGATTGGTGCATAGAATAGGAAAATTTTTATATGAAATAAAGTTGCAGTAATCTAAACCGTTCTGTTTTAGTTGAATGATATTGGACACTATTTTAAAAGACGTTAACATGGGTTTAAAAGATATATCAAATCTACACGGTATAAATAACATGTGGATGGTGAAGAGTATAGCAACTTATTTTCAAAAATAAGGTTCCAACCATATACAAACCGTACCGATTAGAATAATCATCGTAATCATAAAGGGCTGGGACCGCCTTATAATAAGATACAAATATAGAACTGAATAATTTTACAATTTTCCAAGGGAGTTGAGCCCACCTTTATTTTAGAAATCCATAAATTGTTTTTAGTTCTTCACTAATTTGCACCCACAATTTCCCTTTGTTTCTGATGAATTCCAATAAACATGGGAAGCCAAACAAATCGCACACCAAAAATGTTTAAAGTGTAAATGCAGTGAACAAAGAACGAGTTGGCCGCATATAAATTGGACAAAAAGAAAAGATGGAAGAATCAAAGAAAGAGAAATAAAATAGTAAAGAAGAGAACATCTCATATAATTTTGGAAATAAAAAAGGCCTTTTTGCTCCCCTGCAAGACCTCCAAATCCACATGTTCCCCACCAAGAGAACAGCATTAGATTTTGAAACCCAAATCATTTTCACTCATCTCTAACATCAATTTAAACAAAAATCTTAATTTGAATCTCAAAGATTCATACTCCCAATCAATTCCACTCGTTGATGATGAGATATGTGGTCTTGAGAGCATAAGATCTTTTTCCTTTCCTTTTTTAAATTATTCACACAGGCGAGAAAGATTATTTAAAAAATTCCAGATCATGAAATCCCTGAGTGTTAAAGGCGAGTAACAACGTGTATACTGTGGTCCCATGAGATCTCCATGTACGCACCCATAAAAATATTGAGCAAATTGAAATTTGCATGTCGCTGCATTCAATTAGCTGTTTACTTGGGAGAATATAAAACTGGAGTTTAGGATGTATACACATGTATCATGCACATATATGTAGGATTTTTTTCCAGGCATGTCGAAGCAGCAGAAAAGAGTCAAGATTTGGGTAAAAAGATAAGAAATTTTATCAAAATATACATAAGCTTTTGATATAATTTCAAAATACCTATCAAAATACATGATGATGATTTGAAATAGTTGAAAAAGGGTAAATTGTCATGTTGAAAAGTTTGATGTATTTCAACAAATTTCCTAAAAGAATATGAAAAATTGAAAAGTTTGACGTATTTTGATAAATTTCCTAAAAAAAATATGAAAAATTAAGAAAGTGCTACCGAATCTCTCCCTCCCATAGGCACAACACAGAGGCACGCATATTTGCACAATGCTATGGAATGAAGATTGGTCAAACTTTGAGAAAACAAACAATGAAAAAGAAAAAAAAAAAAAAAAAATTACACATAATGAGATCATTTATCTTTAATACAAAGAACATTTATCTTTAATACAAAGAGGTCATAATTACACTCCTACTCATTAGATATCAAATTGGATGGCTTGAGCTAATCAAGAAGTCAAAGAAAATTATTTTTGAATATTAAAAGAAATGAAAAATTTATAAGATTGTCTATAAAAAGGCCATTTATCTTTTATACATGGATACATGAAAGTCACAATTATTCTTATCCCTTAAATTGCAAAATAAGTGAAGGTGGTAAGAATATTATTGAATAGACAGTTCAAAAAACAAAATATTTCTTGAACTTCATGACTTACCTCGAACCATGCAATTTGATATCTAATGATTGTGACCTCCATTTATAAAAGACAAATACTCTCTTTAGACGATCCTAAAATTTATTTGGGAAAACTATGGAAATCAAAACTCTCCCTCTCTCTCATTCATATTCTGGCTCTCTTCTATCTCTCATTTGTTTCTCATATTTGTTGTGGAAGAGAAATTAACTTTTTAAGAAATTGTCAACCTTTGGTCAAAGCCTGTTGCAGGTCGAAAATAGGCAGAGCTACATGTCTAAACGATTATCTGTCCCAAGAAAAAGAGGCAACTGCCCCATCTACCACGACATGTTTACATGAAATTTTTCAGAAGGAAAAATTATAAAATTCACGTCAACCAACTACCTGCTGAAAATGTAAACACTTTTCTTCCTTTCTTCTAACAATTAGCATACCAATTAGGCCACCAAATCATCAAAATAACTTCAAGATGCAAGTTTACGACGAGAACGCCTAGTTTTCTCCTGTTGAAGGGCATTGTTGTCTCTAGGAACCAAAATTTTCTCCAACTGCGTCCATGTAAGCTCCTCTTTGTCACCATCCTCATACAAAACCTAAGGCACAATCTTCCAACCATCAGTTAAGAGAGAACAGGGAGATGAAAAGACCTCTCTCTCTCTCTCTCTCACACACACACACAGACATGCATGCACGAACACACATAATATTGACTAAAGAATATACTCAAATATGCAAAAAAGCTCTCATGCACAATAAAATGGGCCCCCAGCAATTAATCCAAAAATTACAAAAAAAGGTTTTCTTTGAAGATGAAAACAGAAGAAAAATGACCAATAAAATGGACACTAGCGATTAATCCAAATATAACAAAAAAAGTTTTCTTTGAAGAAGAAAACAGAAGAAAAATGACCAACCCACAATCATCGGTGTCTTTTGAATCTACAGACCCAAATAACTTACTAATCATCCAAATCAGATGACTAATCAAATTTCACCGTAAAAATAATGATAATAAAGGTCAGAGCATCTCACAACTCCTCAAATAAGACTAACTAGGCCACCAAAGATTAATCTATCAAATAACCGAAAACATTCTAATGGAGTAACTGAGCCAATGTTGCCACAATGCACTGCATGGTACTTCATAAGGTAAATGCGCCTCATACTCTAAACTGTATATAAACAATTCTTAAGAAATGCGCCTCATACTTTAAACTGTATATAAACAAGTCTTAAGAACTGTATTGCACACTCATACTTCAAATGGTCTCACACAAATAATAGAGAAATATAAAAGAGTACCTGGTAAAATTTCTTGAAGGCCACCACTTTTCCATTATACAGGACACCGCCAAAATCTTTCCTCACCTTCATGCCAACCACTTTTTCCTTTCTCTCACTAGGTGGGATACCCCCCATTTGTTCATCATCTGATCTTGCCCTCTTTCTCTCTTTACCTTGAGAAACCTCAGACTTCTTTGGCCTCCCACGAACCTCGTCGGATTCATTAAGAGTGCTTTCTATACCACATGGATCTGGAAGCCTTGTACCCTTCTGTCTAGAACTAAATGCGCTCTTTCTTGAGCTATCTTTGGGCTTCTTCTGGACAGGGATGGATTCTAAGTCTTTCACATCATCAAGTGAGCGTTTCCTTGATGCACGTTTGCTGCCTGATTCAGTGCTCTCTGTAGAAAGAGAAAGTGGGGTTTTCTTTTCCCTTTTAGAGGAAGAAACTGAGGCCTTTCGTTCCTTTCCCTTACTCTTAGGAGTGGATAATTTGCTACCTTTGTTCTTGGGAGTGGATGGTTTGCTACCCTTGTTCTGGTGAGTGGATGATTTGCTAACCTTGCTCTTGGGAGTGGATGATTTGAGCATGTTCTTGGGAATGGATGATTTGCTAACCTTGCTTCCCTTGCTCTTGGGAGTTGATGATTTGCGTCCCTTGTTTTTGCGAATGGATGATTTGTTTCCCTTGCTCTTAGACGACCTCTTCAATGACCCCGGAGTGCTTGGCAAGTCTAAAATCTTGGCCTTTTTGGTTCTACATGATACACCAAATGTTTTCAGTATTAAGTTATCAGAAACTGTTGATCTATAAAACATAATAAGAAAAGGCTTGCCAACAAATATTCAAACAACAAAAAGAGGATGTAGAACTCATCCACTGATAAGTGCATGTTACACATTATTTATTCTTTTTGAACTTCCAAACACAAGCAATGAAGTCCATTAAAGCCGAATGAGTTTTAAAAAAGAAGGGGCATCGATAACTGTTAGTTCTGCTGCAAAACCAGTTTTTGAGCAGTGGCAGTGCTCATTTGTTAAAAAAACAAACGGAGAAGGAACATGAACTTATGGTGCCTCCAATCCCCAGAACCAAGAAATCCCATTTATAACCATATTTGTGAGATATCGAGACCAATTTAGCCTCCCTATTCACATGGACGATGGACCATAGTAATTGCCATCTTAAATTTTGAGAGAGATCAAAAGTTTCTGCTGAACATTTTTCAAGTTTCCAAGGAATGCCATCATAACATTTCAAAGCTAGATAAATTTAATATTCTGTACGTATATTGGACTGCAGAAACTAGAGTAACATAAATCAAGATAACGAACTAACCAATTGACAACTTCCTCGACATGCCAATGGCAAATATTCAACCACTTTTATATTGAATAATATCAGAATCTCTTAAAAAAGAGATCCATTTAATTCACCTAAAAGATTTACGAGAAGTAGCATCACTGCCTGGAGATCTTTTATTAGAAATAGATTGTGGGTCACCATCAAGAGGAAGCAAGATTTCTTTAAGTTCTTCCCTCTCCAAATCCTCCACATCCCCATCTTCATACAAAACCTGCAGCACATGAGAGACAGGGATGCATTCACCAAAAAGAAATATTTGAAGTGTACAATTTTAAGCAATGGAATTAATATGGCATGAATCTGCTGGAATTTTTTTGAATCACGAAGTAAATTAACCAATGACACAAGAATTTGAAAATTAAATTTAAGAGAATCAATTACTTAAAAGTAAAGGAATGCAGCACCCTATATCTAAACTATGATTTTTTTTCAACAGCATATATCGTCAGCAGAAATCATCACACAACCATCAAAAGAACCAGACAAAACCATCACGAGGCATGGATTTTCATCCAAGAGAACGCTTTACATTCTTCTTTTGTAACATGACAACTTACCATTTTGGAACAACCCAGAAAACATATTGACACTGTTCTGGGAGCACATTCGACTTTCTCAAGAAGATGATTGAGATGGGATCTTTAGGTGCCTTATTGGGGACCCTTGTGGCTATTGGCAGAATACAAAACGTGCTGCTTTTGTGAGTGGGACAAAAATATTTATTAACTCCACTTATAGTTTCCCATTTCATGTGTTCCCCAAAAGGAAATGGACCCAGAATGAAGTTTGTTTCCAAACTAGGCCTAACATAGCACACCCATAGGCACAAATATGATCTATCAAAAGATTTTCTCCCTACACATTTTAGAGATAATGTAGTTACAGACAACAAGTTCCCATTGATGGCCTGTAATGCCACCCTAGAGGAATGCTTCACATACCCTCCAATGACAAGAATATTAAAAATAGCATATCCATCAGCACAAGTATGACCAATCAAAACATTTGGTCACTGCATACTATAGTAATAGTGCAGTTCTAATTGCAAGTTGGCTACTGATAACAAACTCAACAAGGGCAAAGAAAAGTAATTGCTAAATAATTCCTAAACTAAAGAGCACCTAACAACCTCGTGAACTCGATTGGCAGTCTCAGCAAGTAAAGACAGATTTTTATGAAAAAAAAGAAAGGAAAAATCACAGATTACGCCTGAATCATTTAAGATATTGCTAAAGGGGTAACTCGAAGTAGCCAGGGAGTATGCAAGCCTCTGAACAGTGTGAACCACCCTGGAAAAACTACAGAATCTTGTGAATTTATTCCAGCTCTTGTGAATTATACAAAGTGATGGCTGGAGATGAAGCGGACATCATAACTGGAGGTGGAGAAGTTACGGAACAAATGAGTTTAACTGCACCAAAAAATGAGAACTAAGTCCAGAGCACTAAATTTAGCATTCACCAAGAAGATGGCATGTAAGTCATGTAGGCCCACGGCACCAAACAAAGTTAGAAGAAAAGAGTGGCATTAAAGATGGAACCAAATTCCCCAGGTGCTGTGAGGGCTCCACAGGTTCTACAGGAGGTACCATTTGCTTTGTTTGCTTCCTTGAACATGTAAATTTCATGTGCCCAAACCTTTGCAATACCAAACCAGGATAACAGGCACACTATAATAGTAGAATCCTTGACCGAGCAGAGAAAATAGCAGAATCTGCATCATGAAGTAAAGTCATTAATGCATTGTATGCAGTGTTCGCAAAACCGGCCGGTCAGAATCAGACCCGGCCGGTTAGATCGATACCGGTAGCGTGTCGATTCCGGTTAAGGCCAGTTTTACGATACAGCTAACAAAAGACAGACCCCAGAAAAAAATCCGCTCAAAAACCGGCCGGATCGATATCAAACTGGAGATTTTTTTCCAAAACCGGCCGCTTTTTTATTAACTGGTCCGGTTCGTCGTTATAACGGGCAATATGGCGATGTAACGGTGCAATGAAAATAACAGCCGTTATTTGTAGCAGAGCCCGTTATTTGGGCAAAACCCGTGATCCACCCTTTTTGAAGACTTTTTTTATGCTTTTCCCTGCCGTTTTTTGTTTTTTTTGGCTCAATTATTGTACTCTACCTTCAAATCTTATATAAATCCATCAATATTGAATCAAAAACTCCAAAATTAGGTCGTTTTTAGTGATTTTTAGGTGAGTTTTTCGGTGTTCTTGAGTTTTTTTTATGAAAAATCCGCCAATCCAAGGATTTTGGCATGGTTTTTCAATTTTTTTGAATAAAAATTGGGAGATTTTAATGATCACAAAGATACCTATATTTCTAGACTCCTGATTTCATTGAACTGGAGAGATTTGGAGCTTGAATTTGAGATTGAAGCAAACAAGGTAAGCTCCGATTTTTTTTAATTTTTTCTTAATTTTGCAGCCTTTTTTAGGATTATTCAGACAATATTTGACTGATATTATTTATTGCATTCAATAAAAGAACGGATTTGAGAACAAAAAAATAATATTTGGAGCTCGATTTTAGGAATTTAGGGTTTCTTGAATAAAAATTGAAGAAATACATATTTTGTGAAAGTTTTTTCTTAATTTTTCTTTGTTTTAGGATTATTCAGCCTTTTTTTCCTTAATTTTTCTTTGTTTTATCTGAGATATAAGTTATGAGTTTCGTGAATTGTTATCAGAGGTTCAGTCCTCATATTCCTTTTTTTTAAATTGAATCAATGGCGTTTATCTGGTTCTAGAGCTTGCAATTGCATTTGATGGTTTTTTTTTGTATTATTGAAGAAAATGTGCTTCTATTCTTGTTGTTTGATGGCATCATATTATGTTGTCTGTATATGTATTTGTTGATCTTCTGAGAAAAATTTCATATTCAATTGATGGATTAAAACCTGATGTTGCAAGTTACAACACAATGATCACTGGTTATTGCCATGCAAAGAAGATAAATGAAGCCCTAAAAATGTATCAGGCGATGATGCTAAGAGGGTTGAAACCCAAAGTTATAATTTTCACAATTCTTGTCGATTCTTTTTGTAAAGAAGGTAGGATGGATGAGGCATTGCAAATTTTCAATGCAATGGTTCAGAGGGGTCCTTTGCCAAATGTTGTGACTTAATAGTTGCTTGATTGATGGTTATTGCAAAATTCATAGTCTTCAAGATGCTTTTAAAATTCATGAAAGGAGGTTGGGGGACCATGTTTCTCTACCGTGCTCTTAGAACTGGTCTTTGCAAGGAGGGGCAGATGGACGATGCACTTTCAGTTTTTCATTCATCAATAGATAGGGGTTTGATGCCTGATTTTGTAGCATATGACATTCTGATTCAGGGCTACTCTGATGCTGGGAGATTAGCTGAGGCCTTACTCTTGTACAATAATATGATGATTGATGGTGTCATACCTGATAGATTTATATATAAGATACTAATTGAAGGCCTTCACAGAGAGGGTAGGAATGAGGAAGCCAATGAGCTCATCCACAAGGCTCTATAGACTTGGTAAACATTTTTGGAAAATGTGTATAGTGATAAACATATGTAATTTAAATTCTTTTGTGGCTATATGTAATGCTTCTAGGATTCGTGATTCTGGTTCACTTTGGAATTTGGATATGTCAAAATGTTCTCTTCGTTATTAGTGTATTGGATATGTTCCTTTGTTGTTAATGGTTCCATGGCTTACATTTTCATTGTCACTACTGCCTTGGAAGTAAAATTCTGAGTTCTGGGTTTTAAACTCCTAATAGCATTGAGGATTTGAAGCAAAAGTTCCGTAATAGAATTGTGTTATTTCCTAAATGTTATGATTGTAATCTGATTGGCTATATTTTTCAAGTTTACTTGAATACAAAGTTCGGGTTTGAAGCATGCATTTGTCTGCTTTGTGAACCATTTCTCATGTTAAACTTTCTGCTATTTTGCATTTTCCAAAGTGAGGTGTGTGATCTGACTAATGCTAAAAGTTAGGCAAATACAGAAGGCAGAAGGAAGAAGGACAAGTATGAATGAGCGAAGATGACATTTTTCTTATGCTATTTGTACTTAGATATCTCTCACAAAATAAACAAGGCTTTCAAATAGGCATATGCAGATAATTCTAAAGACTGCTTCATTTATTTGAAGTTGAACAATTGGAAAATACAAATCTTATGGCAAAGGTTAATGATATTGAGCTCTCTAAGGAAATTTAGTTTTAGACACCAACAAATAGTGGAAGTAAAATGCAATAGAACTAATAGAGTTTGAACTTTAAACTATGATTCATTCTTCTTATTCTATGCCTTTATTACTTAAGCTTTCTATCATCATAGCAGTTTTCTTATGGAAAACTTGCAGTTCCGGCTTCTGGTTTTTAGATTTATTTAAGTTTTTGCTTCTGAGCTTTGGATTCATTCATTCTGTGGTGTAGTTTTTAATGGAAAACTTGTAGTTTTTAAAAAGGTGCAGAAAGAAACGGGTGCAAAGGAGATAGGGAGGGGGTACGAAAGTCCAATAAATGAGGAAGAGGACCAAGAAGCAGAATTTGAGGCTCAAATGGAACGAGCTAGGATTGCCAGTCTACAAGAGCTGAATTATAGACAAATGGAAATTCAAGAGATGTATGGGAGAAGGGATGGTACATCCAGTAGCCGTCAACCTCAAGAACATGTAGTACCAGGTAGGGGAGGATGTGGGCCTTCATTGCTTAGGTCCACATCTAGTAGATTGAGACAGTTTCTTTAGCCATCGTCTTATAGTCAGCCATCTACTACTCAAAGACGTGAACCAATAGATGTGCCACCAATGACCCGCGAACCCTCTGAACTTGATCCCCACAAGCCACAATATCATCAAAAAAATATAAAATTTCCGTCGGCAGGTGTATTAATAGAAAAGGCAAGAAAGATATTAACATGTTCTGGTATGTTAATGCACTGCCATTTAATTCTGCGAGCTCAGACTTCTACCCACAGATGCTAGCTTCTATAGCTAAAGCAAGGCTGGGTATTAGAAGTCCAACTGCAAAGGAGCTTGCAGGGCCATGTTTAGAAGTTGTTGTTCATGATGTCGATAAGCATATTGCATAGTTCAAGGTCTGTTGGCCAGGTACAGGAGTGACTATCATGATTGACGATGGAAGGATAAGTCCCATAGGTATCTTGTCAATTTTTTAATAAGTTGCCCTAGGGGCATTGTTTACCACTCTAGCATTGATTTATCAAGAAAGAGACATATTGAGAGACTGATATGCACACACTTGGACAAAATTGTAGATGAGGTTGGGCTTGAAAATGTGATCAAAGTAGTGACTGATAATGCTGCGAACTACAGAAAAGCAGGCTTGTTGCTAATTGAGAGAAGACTCAATCTTTATTGGACTCCTTGTACTGCCCATTGTGTTAATTTGATACTTAAGGAAATAGGAAGATGAAGAGGGTTAAAACTTGTATTTTGAAGTGTAAGTTGATTAAGAGGTTTATACACAATCATACGTAGCTCCATGCTTTGATGAGGGAGTATTGCATACGAGAGATTGTTAGGGAGTCCACTACTAGGTTCGCTACAGCGCTCCTTACCATACAATCGATTTTGGTCAACAAGGCAGGATTGAGGTCAATGATACGCTCTAATGAATGACAAACTGATAAGGCAGCAATGACTCAACATGGAAGGCAAGTTGAAACCATCCTTGTCGATCGAAGGTTCTGGGCTCGATGTAACAATGTTGTTTTTGTAACTAAACCTCTAGTGCGGGTGTTGAGATTAGTTGACTCTGATGATAAACCCGCAATGGGGTTTCTGTTCGATGCAATGAGACGCGCAAGGGCTATGTTTGAGAATAACGTATGGACTAAAGAGATATTGGAGATCTTTGATCGTAGGTGAATAGACCAACTGCACCAGGATATCCATGCAACAGATAACTATGATTTATTGTCGCAATTCATGATTCTTTCTCAACTTCGATTAAAGTTACCGTAATTAATAATATAACAAACCGTGAGTAAGGTTCTTTCTAATCCTCAAAACTTGTACTCCAATGCCACCTTAGATGATGCAGATATCATGGAGGGGGTAAGAAACTGCTTCTACAGGCTTGAGCTTGATCTTGAAACTCAGATGGTGTATGCAGTAGGTAAACATTAATCAAAACGTGACTGTAATAAAATTTCAATTTGGAATAATGAATTGCATTTCTATGTAGTATTAATTGCTTATATACGCATCCTGTTATTTCTAGCTTATCATGTACATGGAAAAAAAAGGGGAATTTGCATACAACAATGCCAAAAAAGCAGTTGGAAAATTGCACCCAAGTTAGTTTTAAGTTAAAACTTGCAATATTTTAGTACAATACTTTTTGTGGGTTTTTTTAAATCAATTTATTTTCTATTGTTAAGTATTTCTATGTTTGTCTGTGTCAACACAATGGTGCACGATACACGGAATTCGAACGAAACAATTGTAAAATATTGCAATTACAATTTTGAGTCAAACCTGTGCTTCCTTGGGCTGTGAGAGAAACTGGAGTACATTTCAGTGGATACACGCCCCGACGCGGAATAAATTAAAAACTCAAACGCTGCACAACTTGGTTTACGTTCATTACAATTTGAAATTGAGAGAGAGACATATAAGGAGGACCCCCACAGACTACACACCGATCAACCTTGATTACATCTTCTAGGGGGACGTATCACTAAGGACCCCACTACTAGACCAGGATTTTCTTAGTAGAGCAGTTGCCGATATGGATGATAATATGGATGTTGCAACATCCAACGAAAGAGACATGGCAATGGACATGGATGACGATTATACACAAGATGAAGATGGCATGCAGGATGATTAGGAGACAGATGGGACAATGGAAAACAACTGGCAAGATCCAGTCATCCAGGAATGTGAAGGGGCGCAACATGAGGCGATGCCTGATGAACAGGAAGATATAATGAGATTGGCTTGGGAGGAAGTCCAGGCATCAAGGCGTAGCAGTTACTCGACAAGGGAGAGACAAAGCCGTAGCCGTCACCGTAACCTGGTTATTCATGATGATGACAATATTGAAGCTGATGAGGGCCATAACACAAAACAGGGTAAGGGTAACACAAAACAGGGTGGAGGAGAGCACGAAGGCTGGACAAGTCTAGGAGACTTTGGCCAAGGGGATACCACAAGAAATGTTTCAGACTGGTGAGGGGGCACAACTGCGGCATTACATACTCCACCAGGCCTTACTCAGATTTTTAGTCTCGTAAACCCTGATAGTGAAACGCAACAGTACCATGATCCCCCTCGCCACTCTCATTACTACTAGCCATTGTTAGTTGGACTTTGTAACTTCATTAATTGAATGAATATCGAATTATAAATTGTCTTGCATATCTTCATAGTATTCAAATATTAATTTATATAAAAAGTTCTTTCAATTTTTTTGTAAGATAAATGTATGTAATATAATAGTATACACTTAATCTAAGTTTTTCTATTTTTTAAAAAAATTAATTTTTTTGGAAGTTTTTTACCCATTTTTTCCAAAAAAAATCTACTTGACCGGACCGCCCCGATTAATCCGGTTCCGATTCAAGCTGCTCCCAGCCCCTAAACCAGTTAACCGCTCCGGTTCGATTTTGCGAACACTGGTTGTATGGCCTAGGTAAGGCAAAATGGGGAACACTTTGTATCTCACTCTATAGAATCCCACATGACTTGAAAACTAGCGTGAACAAAATCACAATTGACGAAGAGGAATATAGCAGCAAGATCGAGGGTAGAACTAGACAGTTACCGTTCCAAATTGCTCCTCATGAAAATCAAGAAGCAACTCAAGAGAAAAGGCCACCAAACATTAGCAATGCCTCTCTGAAACTCTAAACAAAGCTTAGGTAGGCCTGGGGTGTTTGATGAAATTGAATACCCACATGTGGGGCCTCACATATGCAAAATAGAAAATGAAAAAAATACGATTAGGACATAAAGAAACATAATCTCTCTCATACAAGGTAATCTTCTAAAGCTTGTGGCCGAAACCACTCCCACAGGTGAACCAAATGAGTCGCCACAAGCATTTGCAGCTCACCACACAAGAGAAAAGATGGGGACGAAACCAACCCATCCTAAATTACTCTGCACTGGAACTTCCAAAAATGATGGAATAAGCATTTGCATGCCCATAATAAACCAACAGAATAAAAGCTCCGAGGCCGTTGAAAAATCTATTGCCACATGTCTAACCAGTTGACTGCACTCCCACATACAAATCAGGCTTTTGGAGTTGAAATTTCCATATTAAAGAGCTGGAGTCTGTAGCTTGGAATAGAAACTAAGAAACAAGAAGAAGAACAAATACATAGCAGTGAATCTAACTCCCAAAGAGTAGAGTAGGATGTCACATAGAAGACGCATATTTCAACAAATGATCATGATTAAATAAGTCATAATACCAAAAATGAACTGCACTACAAAATCATTAAATACAACATTCATGTTTCATTTACACATTCATGATAAATACTTTTTTTTTTTTATTGAAATGTTGACTTTAATTACAGGATAAATACTTGACATTTTAATATGTACTCTTCCTTAAATTTCAAAAAATAGCAACCTCCTTCCAAATATTGCTTCATAATAAAGGTCAAAAATCTGAAAGCACTCTATGTTTACATGACGGTACACTAGTTTTATGCATGAAAGTTACACAATCACCACAACAAGGACAAACAGATTATTTCCATTTCAAATAAAAGCCAGATGAAGTGTGCAAGTCTAGGAACAAAGTTTCAGAGTGCATAAGTTTTAATTTTCTGTACTCCAACAGAAATCACAACTCGCATATTATGGTACTCAGAACAACAGCTTGTTGCTTCAGAAAATTTATTTTTTTTGGCCTTTCTGACAAATGAAATATTAAGCCACAGTTTTTCCTAAATTATATACAGAATAAAAATACTACAAAAGGAACCCTGGTCACAGATAAGCATGTCCCTTACACATGGAAAAAAAAAAGTGCGAGCAAAAAAGAGTGAACTCCCACTCAACTAAACTAGTAAGTCCAGATGATCAAAGCTCCCTGCAAAGGAAACTACACGAGGAGTAGGCCGTACGCTTGTTCCATTCTGGTAACATAAGTATAAATATTTAGAGCCACACACACAAACTCAGAGTCATGAGGTGAATCAAGTAATCAAAAGATGCAGAGTTTACGGCTGAGGAAAAGTAAGTAAGCCAATTCAGTTATCTTTATCAAATAGGAAAAATCACCTTAAACAAGGTAAATGATAGCAGCTACTTTCAAAATGTGCTTTTGATATGCAAAACAAAGAATGACATAATACTTCTCCACATAACTAACCCTGAACCAGTGTGTCCCACTATCATACGAGACCACATCGCCCAAATACTTCTTTCGTCCAAACTTTTTACGCACTTTCCGACCCACCATATCTTTCGACTCTGTCTCAATATGGTCATTTCCCGGTTCCTGTAGATTGACAAGTGCATATGAGAAAACACATGAAGCAACAAAACAAAAACTCAACCAAATTCTTATACAGGAGGGAATGCCTATGAACTTACAGTATTTTTGTCATCACCAATGGTAGATGGATCAACAGCAACATGTTTCTGTATGTCAGCACCATGAGAATCACTTGTTAATATCACCCTCTCAGAAGAATCCTCTCCTTGTTTCATTGATACATCAGACACTTGAGAAGAATCATGACCAAGTACATTCATATGAGAATCCCCCTGCTCATTGGTTCCATGTGGTTCCACGGTGTCAGCATGTGTTCCTTGATCAGAACCGACAACACCAGAGACTTCATGGATCGAAACATTCATTTTAGAACAACTAGGTTGAGAGCCCTTCAAAGGATCTGCTGCTTCAGCCTGATTTTCCGGAGGGAAAGAATCTGAAAAAGATGAAGAAACTTCTTTTACCCTATCGGAAGACTTCCCGTGATTGTTTAGTGTACAAGTGTTCAAGTTTCCAGCAATCTCACCATCTTTATTTTCAAATTTTTGTGATTGAGTGGTTGTTTCAGGTGCCCCACCATCAAATTTTTCTGATTGCAAAGAATGAATCGCCTCAGTTTTGCCAGGATCTTTTATTTCAAGGATAGATGTGCCAACAATTAAAAGAACATCTTGACCTGTACCTTGATTAAGCACATCAGCTCCACTTGATTGCTGAACTTCATTACCATTCACATTTGGATGTGATACCACTTCAACTTTGCATTCGCCACCCACCTCACCCACACTCGAAGTATCTACAGTGTCATCTCCAACATGTTGTTCCTTTACTTCTTTTGGGGATTGAGGTCCTTGCTCCAACTCAATTTCTTTTTGACCTTCAACAAAAGTCATCCCTTGGGATTCTTGTTTCTCGGGTTGCATTTCATGTGCAGGCTCTTGCAGAGATCCTTCATTTTTGCATTGGCACAGGGAAATTCCCATTAGCATTTTTAGAATCTTTATCCAGTGCTCCAGTCTCCATTACAGGAGCTGTTCTGGAAAGATTCTGGCCACTTGGTCATTCAGCAGCTAAGATTTCAATCAATAAGTTACACTAACTATGAAAGAATCCACTACCAATGCACAAGAACCCACAAGAGTTATCTAAGAACATGCCAGATTTATATATTCCAAACACGTGCAAACAAAAGCAAACAAAAAAAAGGGAGAGGAGGGGTGCGGTACTTCGATCCAAATGAGATATATACAAGGTACCTGTAGAATTGATGCTTTCTCTAGTCGAAGAATCCATGCGACAAAAGGCAAGCAAACACCAAGCTCCACAAGTAAAATTGTATTTTTCACTTTACAATAAAGTGTCAGCTTCACTTTTGCACTTCATGTCATATACTGCATAAAAATAAACATATATATAAATGACAGTGAAATAAAAATATAAAACTAATAAAAAGAAAAGTAAAACAGAAAACTGTAAAGTAAACCCCAGATGGAAAGAAGTATTTGGCATCTACATCTAATTCCCAGCAATTCAAAAAGTTGGTTTATAATAGCCAACCCAAGAAGACCTATAATATTTACTTCCAAGATCAGGAAAACTCACTGGAAATACCATGTACAACAACAAATGTGCAAGTCCTCTCGAAAACCCACTTGATAAACTGTTACAGATTATCTATAACATACAAAAACCGGTAACCTCCGTAGTGTCCAAGTAGGGTGAGGAGAATATCCTGCACCAAAAATTGAATGCAGTAAAGAGGTAAAAATGCTATCCAGGCTCATAGCTTCAAAATAGCAGATACATAAAATGAGAGAATGCCCTAGATACAAGCAGTAGCCATTCACATTCGTATACTTCTAATTTTATCTATTGTTTTATGTAAGGGGGAGGTTTGTTTAAGGTGTCAACATTATACTATTGAAGGTGCGCCTCAAAACTATGCTAAAAGATGCAGTTTCAGTGATGGAAAGCCTTGCGATGACATGAAAATACATTGTTACTCCTAATTATGAAATTTAAAACTAAAAAATTATGCAAATTGAACAAATCTATAAACCATTAAAAATTCTGAAAATGGATGGTGCAGATAATGCATTACAAGATGCACTGTTTTCATAACTTGAAATCTATTTTTTTCCCCCATATCCAAACATTGATTTTTAAAATCAGAACAACCTTATCCAATAAGATTTTGAGGTATGCCTTACTTCAATCATATAAGGTATATAAACCTTTTCCTTCATGTAATTATGTTAATTTTAATACCAACATTTATTTGTTGTAGCAGCCTAATGGCCCTGATTTTTGTTCAAATTGCCCAAGCAATTATTTTATATTAAAATACTTAGCCAACAGCATTTCTGCAATACAAAATGCATGAATAATACAAGATAATTTGAGCAAATGCAAAGAAGAACATAAGCATAGCCCAAGCGATGTTTTCGTCAGAAATAGAATGCCCTTAAGCCTTATCCCGCAAGACAAAAGGATGTCATTACCATTTCAATCAATAAAAACAAGCACACGGACACACCTCAATTTGGAGGGTGCCAGAGGAGTAGAGCACAACCCATCATGGGATGCTCATCCTTTTGAGCAGCCATGCCCCTAACCAGGACATGGTCGTGAAACTTTGTGGAAATATTGCAGGTTGAGTCCTGACAGAGGTTAATGATTTAGCTTTTTTGTCATGTCACTGCCATACACTCTACTGTATGAGTGGGAGGTCGAAGTCTTCATTTTGATGATAACAGCCCTAGGATTCAAAATCCACAACAGTGAGCATAGGTGTCGAACTAACACAAACCCAAACCCACAGCTAGGCTAGCGTTGCTACTGGACCAAAAGTACACTCACTGTGGTGCACCGTAATAGAATGACGCATGTTCGAGACCCTCAATACATCTCTTTAATGTGCCTATGTCATACAAAAAAGAACTTCAGATAAGATGGTGTCCTACTGTCCTGAATTAAACACTATAGCTGATGCGTCAACTTTGGCTCCTCAATGGATGACAATCACATTTGAAAGAGTGGACTTTGTGTGATCTGGGATTGTGTAAAATGCTATATGTGTTCGAGTGTATCAAAGATTTAAAATGTTTTCTTGTACCAAATCCACCTTGTTTAGAGCTATAGAGTCTTTCACGACATCTGTTACCAATTAATTGACATTATTATCCTTGCTTAAACTCATTATTATCCCTGCTTAAACTCATGTCTTTCAAACAATACCTAATTGTTTTATCTTATAAAAGATTCAACAAATAATAGCTAATTATAACATACTTTTTTTTAAAGCAGCAATGGACAGCATGAGTTTAATGGGCTTGCGTAATGCTTGAATGCATTGCATGAACTTACACTAGGCAAAACTACTCATCGTAGGCAAGCCTCTAAATCATTAGTAACACTTGGTTTTCATGATAAGCTTATCTCCATATCATAAGCAAGCCTTCATACCATTTGACTCCTGGCTTTCCCAATGACCTTTCATCTTATGACCCTTGACTTTTCAAATTACCTCTTTGCATAAGTTTCTAAATACCAGCCATTGTTAGGAGTTCAAGACACTTCTTTGCATTCAAAATTTGAAGGTTTCACACACAAGAGAGAGAGAAAGGATAAAAAAAAATTCAGAAATTCAAGCTATTTTTGCTTAAACAATGCCCAACAGTGTGAGAATCATCCAGGCGAACTTTTGCCCCCCAGTAAGGAGTTCTACGGATCTTGTTGGGGATAGGAGGTGAACCAATTTTGGATAAGTTACAACTTTGTGTTGGGGTTCACTGCACTTGCATATTTTTTTTTCCCTGACATTATGTCATTGTGGTGCTGCTTTTGCTCGTCGATCCTCATTTAGACTTGTGATTTTTTATTTTGAAATTTGATTCTCTTGACAATTTCTGGAATCCAGGTTGGGATACAAGTAATCTGCCCAACACATCAATAGATATGTATTATAGCATACAAAATTACACAAATATATATATATATATATATATATATATATATATATAGGTAAGTATAG